AAAAAAAAAAAAAAAACTGCTAACGAATCTTTCCCATTTTTGCAGGTTTTTTGCTTGCTAATTTGTTTGGATCTCTGGTTTTCAGGTCTGGTTTGGTTGCGGATATGTTTTTGACTTGGTTTGGATGTAACTTCCCAGCTTTTAGAAGAAACGGATTTTTTTGTTCTTTAGTAAAACCCAATTGAATTAGACAAACCATCTATTATGACTTGGTCTTCAAGAATGTTGAGGTAATGATTAGGGGTGCACAAAGTTCGGTTAACCTAGCCGAATTTGGAGCGAAACCGAAACCGAATATTTGAATAGGTTTTTGGTTCACATTTTCTTGAAATTTCGGTTTTCGGTTTGGGTTGGATAACTGTGATTGGTTAACTGAATCGAATCGAAACCCTATTTGATATACATATTTTTTATTTATACATATAAGTTATAAAAGCATCAATTTGCTTCAATAATTGATGATTTTCAAGCTTCAATAACCCCTCAAATGGCTCAAACATAAATTTACACTCAAGATTGGCTTCGTCATAGTCTAAGTCATGGTTCGGGTACGAGATCTTCCTTTGAGGAGAATTTAGAATTTATTGAGAAGATTAAACAAGGTGATATTTTTTTATTTTTTTTTTTTTTTGTTTGGATAAAACATAATTTTTTTGTTGGGTTAAAAATTCATAATTTATTGAGAAGATTAATTATTTATTGCGATTAAGTGAAAACCGAACCGACAGTTGGATATTCATTTAAAAACCAAACCGAACTGTAAATTTCGGTTCAATTCTAGGTTATGATAACGGTCAGTTCGGTTCGGTTCGGTTTTGGCCGAATGAGGCTATGAGCAGCCCTAGTAATGATTTTGAGAAGTTAAAAATGGTAGTTCATATACACTTGAACCTCAAATTTTGGGTTTAGTTTTAAGTCTGACAAAGTTTGGTAACAGTCTCGAACTACTTCACACCAATTGATCGTGTTAGAGAGAAATAAAACAGATGGTTCAATGAAAGTACGACGGACAATGAGTTTAGATTGGACACATTTAGGCATTTTGGTCCACAGACTATGTTCTCAAACAACATTATTGATGCAATTATCAAACAAAATGAAATATTCGTAGGCAAGAATATCGATCTTGAATATAGATAATTTGATGTCCTACATAGATAATTTTAAAACTTGATGCGAGATGATATGATTTTCTTGATTGAGTGCACGGGGTTTGTAACGCCCCGTTTATTGGAGAATTTTTTTGAATTATTTATTATATTTATTATTACTTATTTATTTTATTATTGGTGATTGTATAATATTATTAATCGCTTAAAGGCTTAATTACTATTATTGTTGTTACTATTATTATTATTATCTGAATTAATTGCCTACGTGGTAATATTATTTGAATAATATATATATAATTGTGATATATATATATATATCTTTATTGTGTATTATTGATATGAGTGTCGGTTGATTTATTTTATTTTCCAATGTCATTCGAGTGAGTCGGCCTTCCTAATGCGTAACTTGAGTGGCGAATTATTAAAGAGAACCCAGTCCGTATGCTTTAGTATTTTCGGCCCAAAAATCGGGCCCAACAACTTTTTGTTTAGCTATAATGACCAATTTTTATTAGCCCATCAGATTTTGATGAAAACTACGCAAGTCAAACCCTCGTCCCTCACAATCGTCTTCCTCACCCCACACAATTCATCACGCCGCTACCCTATCTCTCTCGCTCCCCACCTCACTCTCTTTCGATCGAAGTTCGCACAGGAAGAAGTGAAGAAATCTCTTCTCTCTCGATCCCTCATCATCCCTCATCGTCACTAGCCTCCTTCTCGGCGACCCCCTGTTCGCGAGTTTTCCTCAGCCGGTGCAACTCCGGAGAGCCGCTGCCCCTCCGCACGTAGCAACCAACTCCGGCGAGCCGCTACCCCTCCGCACGCAGCAACCAACTCCGGCGACCTCCAACAACCGACGTGAACCCCATCGCGAGCCCTCCTTCCTGACTGCAGCACCGCCGGCGAGCCTCCCTCCACCACGCAGCTGCAGCGCCATCACCGTGAGCCCTCAGCTGCTCCTCCGGCAACTTCAACCTCTGTTCGCTGCTTCTCCCTAGCCGCGAGCAGCCATTCCCGCGAGACGAGGCTCAGCCGTCGTCCTCGTCTTTGTTTCGTCGTGACCAGGTCCCAGCGAGCAGCCTTCCACTACAAAAAAAAACTCTTACATTTCAACGGAAATTTTCAGTTGGAATTTTTTATATTTCCGTTGGAATAGCTATTCCAATGGATATTCCTACGTATAAAAATCTGTTGGGAAAACGGCCGTTGGAATAGCAAATATCCAACGGAAAATCCTATGAAAATAAATTCCTACAGCTATTCCAACGGAAAAAATCCATTGGAATTTCTCAACTATCCAACACTTATTCCAACATAAAATTAAGTTTGTTGGAATATTCATTGGAATTTCCAACGGAAATTTTTGCCGTTGAAATTTTTTGTTGGAATTGTAGTTTTTTTTTTTTTGTAGTGTTCGGACGTCCCACGTGAACTTGTCATCCCCGTTCACGCCGTTGATCATGCGCATCACACCCGTCGGCGGGCCGAACGAATTTGTCGGGCCCCGACATGTTCCCGCGGGAGTGTTTCAACCCCGTCTCGGCCTTCGTTTCGTTTCGTGTGTTATCCCGAGAACGGTATCAAGGCCCGATCTCCCTTATTTTAACATGTATAAGTGATTTGGGATGGTCCTTTATTGTTTATGCCATGCTAGTGATTATATGATATGAGAAATTATATTGTTGCTTTAGAAAAGTTGAGGCCTTTGTGAATGAGCATGATTTTATGTGACCATGATGTTCTTATGATTATATGAAATGTTAGGAGTTTGATCTTGCTGTGAAATTGTCGTTTTAGAGGCTGCGTATATGTTCGTTTTCAATGTCCATATGCTATCATGAAGAGTTATATTATGATCATGATGATTCGTTATTTCTTGTGATCGTTTCTTGCTCGTATTGATGAGAATTAGGGGTATTTAGGATGGAAATTCCCTAACTTCTCTTCTCTTGGTGAAATCTGGTAGGAAATGGAACACACATATATCCTTAGGCCTTGTGTAGAGGCCTAAGATCAGTTGGGGCTTGTTTGAGTACTATATGATTTTTCGAAGTCTTGTTAATTTATGAAACTTGATATATTTTTATAAAATCGTACCCTTGGTATTTTGTTGTGAAATTTTAGTATGTTGTTCCCTGCTGAGTTTTGAACTTGGTGTATAAATTTCGTAATTTTGGACCAGTATTGCTATTTTTAATAATTATTCTAATTTTTTATCAGAACCATGTAAAAATTCCTATAAATCGAGTAGAAGTCATTTTGATCTGAAAATTTTATATGTTGGTTATCTGTCATGATTTAGCGTATGTTTTAAATTTCGTGAACTTTGGAGTTGATTTGGTATTTTTAATAATTGTTTAGTTTTCAGGACATAAACATGCTTGAATTTTATAAAATTGAATTCTTGTCATGAAATTTATATATGTTGAGTCTCTGATGACTGGTAGTATGTGGTTAAAATTTTGGAGCATTTACATTTCGTTTGCTGAGTCAAATAATTATTATGGTATAATGGCCAAAATGTTAGGAAAATCTTTAATAATCACATGTTAAGGTTCAGGGATTGATATTTGTAATTTATGCTTAGTTCAGTAGCATGTTTCTTGGGTTTGAATTTCATAATATTATATGATCGTTTGCCTGGTCATCCCGATTTATGCATTAAATTACCACATCTTTCAGAAAAAGCTTTAAAGTGCGTTTTAAAATGGATTTTCAAGTGAATTATCTTTCATGCTGCATTTATGTGATATTATGTGGTGTGATTTTTGTTTGAGGGCATGAGTCTTTGCCCCGTTGACTTAGGTTGACTCGGTCAACCTTTGTTTGACTTTAATGAATGTTCCCGTGCTTGGTTCGAGTCGAGTCGTGTGTTCCAATTTTTCCTCGAGTATTTCCCACGAGCCACTTAGTCGACGGGTTTCGACTAAGTTTGTGCGTTTGTTGGTTCTCGTTGTAATCGAGGGTTCGCCTTGATTTCTTGTAGGTTATCGAGGTGTCTACTTCAAACCGATTTTCGGAGCCTCGTTTATTGCTATTTCTTTCGCTGCTACCAAGTGGGTTTACTTATAAAATTTGTTATGCCGTATGTGTTTACTTTAATGTTGGGTTGGTATGATTTAAGTATGCATGTAAACCATGTAGCCTATCGGCGTGAGCCGATTCGGCCGTCGGTACGGTTGTCCCCGTCGATGTAATACGATTACCCTTGCGAGGTAAGTCTCCGTAA